ATGACATCATCAGCCTTCTGTGGCATGACCTCTGGCAACAGGGTTGCGGCCCATATGTCACGAAAATGTGAGAATGCTTACAAAAGGAGAGTATAACGTGAAAACACTACGAATTGGTAAAACCATAATTACAACAGAATATGAGTACACACTCTGTACATAACCCAAAAGGAAAAGGCTTTGTTACAATATATAGGTACCCTATAGAAATGTAAAAGAGAATTTCTGGAGAAAAGGATCCTCTTCCGGTTGTCTTCAGTCCCATATTTCTATGCTGAAAAAGGTCCCCGAGCAAATCAGAATATAAACCTGTAAGGCTGAATGCCCCAACTGAGAGCGCAACTACACATCTGAATTAAATCTGAGGCTGGTTCAGATTTTTAAGAAATTGATATCATGTCACATGTTTTTCATTTTGTATGTGTGTGCGTTCTTATAGAAGCTGGTCTAGGAAGATCATCTGCACACACACTCCATATCTTGCCTCTTTGTTATAGGTGGATGGGGAGGCAAGTGTCTCCCAGCCTTTCTCTGGGAGGAAGGTGATGGCAGCCGGGAGCTGTGGGGAGCCGAGAGGGAGGGCATCGTCCCATGTTACAAGAAGGGGAAGTTACCAGGGAGAAGGTCAGGGAAGCAAGAATTAATGAGGCTTAGCATGGCAGCAGCTGCCCAGCCCCAGACTCCTTGCCCTTTTTCATATCAGTTTTGAAATGGCACTAAAATAGAAACAGATACCCCAAAAAAGGAAGAGCTTGTTTTACATTGATTCTGGTCATGCCAAAATTCTTCGTAGCGGCACCCCAAACTCAAGCCCTATAGACCCTCCACAGTCACAATTTACTCCAACACACATACAGTGGTGCCTCGCTAGACGATAATCCGTTCCACTGAAATCGCTGTGTAGCAAAATAATTGTCTAGCGAAAAGCATTTCCCCATTGGAATGCATTGAAACCTGTTTAATGCATTCCAATGGGGAAGAATCGTCGTTGTCTAGCGAAGATCGGCCATAGGAAAGCCGCTTTGCGAACCGCCGATCAGCTGTTTAAATAGCTGTCTTGCAAAGATTAGGTCCCGAAAACACCCGTTTTGCAAGCGCGGAGGGAGCTGTCAAAATCGTTGTCTAGAGAAAATTGGTTTGCGAAGCAGGGACCAAACATTGTCCAGCGAAATTCCCCCATAGGAATCACTGTTTTGCGAATTGCTATAGCGATTGCAAAAAGCCAATGTCTAGCAAAAAAACTGTCATGCGGGGTAACTGTCTAGCAAGGCACCACTTGTATGCCAAAACGAGTAAAAAGGAAAAAAAAAGTGACCACAGTTGATTGAAAATAACTCCGCAAATGGGTGTTTAAAAAACCAAATTCTCAGCTTTAACAATGTGCATTAGTTGTGTCAATGCAGATTTTTCAATTGCTTTCGAGTGTGCTGAACCCAATGCAAAAACAGGAGTATTGCATTGTGTGATCGAGCCCTAAAAGAAAGGAATTATAATTGGCTTGTGAGTATCTACTGAGACTCCCATTTAAAATGGAGAATCCCATTTAAAATGGCTACTGAATAGCCATTTTAAACTGGATTAACTTTTATCAAATCCTGCTTCTGGATATGTGCTGAGTGTGGATTAGAGATAGACATGAACCTCAATTTGGAGGTTCATCCCCTTTTGTCAGCGCATACCACAGGTGCTACACGTCCCCTTCCCCTGACTCCCCGGCCGATGCCTCACTCACCAGCTGACGGGCACTCCTCCTCCTCTTCAGCTATCCATGCAGTGCCCAACAGGAGCATGGGCTTGCCTGTCCTTCAGGGAAGCCTGCGCTCCTACTGGGGACTGGCTGAACAGCCGAAGAGGAGGAGGAGGAGAGGAGCATGCACTGGCTGGTGAGTGGGGGAATACAGCTGGGATGGTGGGGGAAGGGAAAGCAGGTGCCAGGCTTATGAACTGGCACAAACTTCCGAACTGAGGTTCGTTTCCACCTCTAGTGCGGATCTATGCTCTATATTCAAAATTACGATTATACTAATTTACAGCATTTGCCTTTTTACAGTGGACAAGCTTATCCTGCACAAGTCTCTCCCAGTTGGCGGTCGTGATTTTAATCCTGCAGTATATGGGCAGGTCCTTCCATTGATTTGTCTTCGGTCTCCCTGCCTTTGGCTTCCATGGACAAGCCCACTGTTTTTTTCTGGGAATTCCCTTAGTGAGCTTCTCAAAAGGGCCCAGAAGTCTCTTGGGACAAGGAACCAAGATGCAGGAGGGTCAGCCTCAGGAATTAGCCAGCAGTCTGAAGCCTTTGGGCCAGATATCCATAGAAGTCTAGCCTTCTGCCCTCGGTTGGTCGACAGAAAAGCACCAACCAACCGATGCTGCACTCCTGCCTTAGCTTCATCAGCACAAGGTTGGACTAGGTGACCATAGATGTTCCTTTTCACCTTCTCAATTTCCTCTGACATCTGCTGTCAACCCTTTCAGTTCATGGAAGATGACTCCAGGAACCCTTAGATGCAAATGTCACGACAGAGCAGTTTCAGAGAACCCATAATCAGCTGATGAAGAACTCCCAGTCCCTATCAGCCCCAACCATTCCGGCCCCTGGTGAGGTAGGATGATGGTTCATCAACACCTGACAGGTGGAAACTTCCTCACACTTCGACAGACCAGTCAGGAAGCTGGACAAGAGCAGGGCTGGTCAGAAACAGCTAGACTCAAATGTTTTATGAGTCTAGTGCCACCTTGTGCCTGAATCATGAAATGGCACCATCCTCTACCCCTACTAGCTGTGAGTTATGACTATGCGCGCGCATGCTCGCACGCACGCACGCGCATGCACAAACACACACACACATCATTCTTGCCTGATGCCTCTTGGGACGAACCCAGCGAGCAAGTCAACTCGGCTACAGAGTTATTTTGCTAGTGGACAAGGTCTTCAACAATTTATTTCTGATTTTCTCTTCTCAAAATATTTATTCAGTGGGAGTGCAATTCATGACTCAAGAGATCCACTTGAAGGTGTCGTGTCTCCATCAAGTTTAAAAGAGATTTGCAGTGAATGGATGGTTCTAGAGCAGCGCCTTCTACCTCACACATTCTTGATGTGTTGTCATTCTCATGTTTTGTCAAGTTGCTTCTCATTTAGGGTGACCCTATGAATGAGCCATCTCAAAAATGTCCTGTCCTCAAACAGCCCGGCTCAGGTCCTGCAGACTCAAGACTGTGGCTTCCTTGAAGGAGTCAGTTCATC